CGGGGGGGGTGTCTCTCTCACCGGCTCCAGGTTGCTGGGCATCGCCACGGGGTAGTCGAGGAGCAGCCAGGGGGTCTGTGGGAGGGGTCAGGGGGTCCCCAAAGGGCTGCGGGGGGCGCTCGGGGGGTCCCCAGCGACCCTTTGGGGGTGAAGGGGTGCAGTCAGGGGGTTTTCGGGACCCTTCCCTGGGGAACGAGGGCGCTCGGGGGGCGCTGGGGGGGAATCTTTTGGGTCCCGTGGGGATCCCGGGGGTCCGGGGGCGTCCTGGCGTGCGGCCTCCCACCCCGCGGGCCCCGGCCGCCCCCTCCTCACCCCGGGACTCCCTCCCGACCCCCGCGGGGGCTCCGCGCTCGGGACCCCCGCCCGGCCCCGCAGAGCTTTGGGTGCGGCTGCCCCGGGCGTGGGAGGGGGGCCGGGGCGTCCGGGCACGCGCAGGGGCGGGGCACCCCCAAAATATCCCCCCCCTTGCAGCCCGAGACCCCCGCGACCCCCGAACACAGACACGACAGCGGCTGCGGCTCGGAGCGCTTTATTGGGGCGGGGGTCGGGGGACACAGAGTGCGGGCTATCCCCCCACGGTTGGTGGGTTCTGGGGGGGCTCAGGGGCCGCCCCCCGGCAGCCAAAGGCAGCGGGGGCGGCTGCAGCGCAGCTCCAGCTCCCGCTCGGCGCCGGGGGGGGGGTCCTGCCCCGGAGCCCCCACGAGTCCCGCCGGGACCCCCCAGACGCGGGGGACGCTCACGGCAGAGGCCCAGTCGCAGTCCTGGGACAGAGCGGGGTGGTGACACCGGGGGGGACAGCTGGGGACAGCCGGGGTGATGTCCCCCCGCCTCACCCCAAATCCCCCCGCAGCGGCCGTGCCGAGGCTCGGGACCCCCAAAACGTCACAGCGCCCTCCCCCCGTGTCCCCTCATGTCCCCCCCGGGGGGGGCACAGGGGGGTCCGGGGGAGCACAGGGGTGAACCCGAGGGGGCACAGGGGGGCCCCCGTTCCGCACCTTCCGTAGCCGCTGTGCGGCGCCAAGGCCGCCAGGGGGAGCCACCACCACGACGGAGTTTCCGAGCGCCAGCGCCGGGGGGAGGAGCTCCAGCGCCAGGGGGCGGGGCCAGCCCCAGACCACGCCTAGCACTCCTAGCGGCCGCCTCGTCAGCAGGCCCCGCCCCCCGGGCACCTCCTGCAGCGGGATTGGCCATGCCCAGTCAGAGGCCACGCCCTCGCGCTGAAACACACGCCCCCTTTTTTCGCCACGCCCACCTGCACGGCCCCGCCCGCGCGCTCGGCTCGCTCCGCCCAGCGCAGCAGCGCCCCCTGCAGGCTCCGGTCGCTGTCGCCGCTGTCGCCGCTGTCGCCGTCCCCGGGGGTCCCGGCTCCCCCCGCCAGCGCCGCCGCCGCCCCCCGCAGCACCCGGGCCCGCGACGCCCCCGGCAGCCGCCCCCACCTGCGGCAGTCGGGGGCGTTGGGGACCGACCCCTCCTCCCCGAGGGGACACCCCCGGAGGGGTCACCCCCCGCCCCCGCACTCACCCCGGGGCGGCCCCGCGGGCGGCGGCCACGGCCTGGGCCAGCTCGGGATCGCCGGGGTCATCCACGGTCACCGGCGAGCTGGGGCGGGGACACAGACAGGGGTCAAAGGGCACGGCGGGGGGGGCACCGGGACCCCCTGGAGAGGAAGAGTCGGGGTCCTGAGGGGCACACGGGACCCTCGGGGGGGCAGGATGGGGCTGGGACCTCCCGGGGTCCTGGGGGTCTTAAACCTGGGGGTCCCAATGGAGTCCCGGTCTGAGTTCTCAGCCCTGGGATCCCCCCAGTTTGGGGTCTCCATCCTGGGGAGGGGTCTCTGTCCCATCAGGGGGTACCTGAGCGGCTCATCCACCTTGGGGGGCTCTTCCCAGGGGGGGCACCCGAATTCTCGCAGCGCCTGGAGGGAGGTGGGGGGGGGGGGCCAGAGCCCATCTGCAACGGCAGGGCCACCCCAGGGCACCTCCACGCCCCTCCAGCTTCTCCAGGACACCCCCAAACCGCCCTGGGCCCCTCCCAAACCACCCAGGACCCCCAGCAGAGCCCCCCTTGGCAGACCCCACCTCATCCAGGTCGGTGTCCGCGGCCCCCCAGGCGCTGCCCCCGAGGGGCTCGGGCAGCTCCAGCGAGTTGAGGCACACCAGGCCCTGGGGCAGCCTGCGGGGGGGCGGCGTCAGAGCCTGGCCAGGGGTCAGTGCCCGGCCAGGGGTCAGTGTCCGGCCAGGGGTCAGTGCCCGGCCAGGGGTCAGTGCCCGGCCAGGGGTCAGTGCCCGGCCAGAGGTCGCTCCCGGTCAGCCTCCTCAGGGTCACTCGTGGTCAGCCCCCCAGGGTCACTCATGGTCAGCCCACCAGGGTCACTCGTGGTCAGCCCACCAGGGTCACTCCTGGTCAGCCCCCCAGGGTCACTC